TCTGCACTCCTCCAGCAGAGCAAGGTCCTTCACAGCAGCACAAGGGTGCCCACCACAGCCTCCCTCCCGTGGCCTTCAGGTGAGGTCACAACCCTGCCAGCCAACATCACATTAATGCCACACAGGTGCCGGGAAAGCAAAAGGGAAGGAAACGCCACTTTTAAAAAAAAAAGACAACACGCACAGATGACAAAGCAAAGCACTGGATCCTGATAATCCCATGTCATGAAATCTAGTTTTTCCGAGTCTGTTGTAGCTGAAAACAGATTTTACAGCAGCTGAGTTTATAACCCACCATCTCGCCCTTTGCGTATTTTAAATTTAAGGAAAAAAAAAAAAAAAACACAACAAAAAGGACAAAACCCAAACAGCAAGTCCATTGTAGCTCAGCTCTAATAGGAAGTGGCTCAGCTTACAAATGCCAAAAGCATCGCAAAGCATATCCTGCGGTTTGGGTTGATTGGTGGGTCAAAAGCTTATTGATGGCTCTGGCAGCAAGATCTGCCTTACTGCTTAGGAGGGAAGACGAAGTGGCCCAATTTAATGCAGCCATTTACTTCCCTAAGGAAAACAGGTGGCTTCATTCTGTCAGCCTTTCTGCATCCCTCCAGCCGCCCCTCGGTGGACAAGCACTCCTAACGTTTTGTCCTTTTTCAAACAGGATAAAACCAGACTGTGCATCTCTCAGGACAGCACGAGATGGAACTGTGACCCCCGGGCTGTTGCCATGAAGGGGTCCTAAATCCAAACCCGAAACCCTGTCTGAAAATGAAAAGGTGCCGAAGGTAACTGATAAAAAATGAAAAACTGACAAAAAATAAAAAAGCCACTTTCCAGCACACAAACCCTCTCCCGAAAACGATCCTCCTTCCACCACGACTCCCTGTGAACAGCTCATGGCATAGGTTCACTCACACTGCAAACACAGAGAGGGAAGGACAAACAAGGGAAAACAATCGAGACATTAAAGCAAACAATTAGGAAGCAATTAAGACCGGACATCACAGCGTTGTAGTAAACACAACTTTCACACTGAACAATGCCTTTCTTCCTATGCCTTTTTTTTTTTTTCATTCCAAATGTTTCTATCTGAGAAGGCAGTATCTAAGAACATTTAAAAGTGATTTTATGGGAACACAGTCCCATGTGGAGAGCCCTTTCCCGGTTCTTACAGCGGTATTACACTCATGGAGCTAAAAGTGAAGCAAAGTAGTGCATTAAAACACAGAGAGATAAATATCTGGATGTCTGCTCTACTTCCCAGACAACTCAGTATCTCGGGAAGCTGAGGAAGGGACAACAGCAAACAGCCCTGATGCTCTCCAAGAGCAGGAGCAGCCTGGAGAATCGGGAAGGCCGCACTGCTTGTCAGTCTGGAAACAAACACATCAGCTCAGATTTTGAGATTATTCTGCAAGAGAGGTAAGGGGGGGGGAAAGTAACATCTCACTGATTTTAATTTAATTTAAAAAAAATAAATAAATAACCCGTGTGCAGCATGAGAAGCAGCTGCCGGGCTCCACTGTGCTGCAGAACAAGCCAGACAAGGGAGAACTCATTTTGCCCCCAGTTTGGTTTACAAGTTAACTTGGCCTTCACTCCAAACATATGTGCCCCCAACAACAGCCCTCACCCTCACTTGCTGCTTCCAGCAGCTCCTAGTCTTTCCAGACTCATCAGGCAACAACTACTTAAACAAACCTCATTTTTAGAAAAACTGTGCTGGAATCTTCTGAGAGAGATTCACTATCATAAAGATGAATTTTTTAAATTTTTTTTTAAGAGACAACTTCAATAATAAAAACTCTTCCATAAAAAAATTGGTTTTCATCTAGCTTCTTTTTTATGTAAGTTTTGCCAGCAGAGGATAACACGGGCATGTCACCAGATGGCACGCCCACCAGAACTATCTTTAATTTTTTTCCTTGGAGATGTAAGCCGAAGTACCTGCAACTATGCTGTAATTTCCTTTTATAGAGAACTTACCAAGCAGTTTTTTTGGAACTGAAGATATTTTCTAGCCCAACTCCCATTTTTAAACCCTTTTTAAAGATTCGGGACGACCTTATTCAACCATCGGTGGGGTTTATAAAGTCTTTTCAGAAAGGAAGAAGCGGATCAGAGAAGAGAAAACAGCGGCGCTGAAAATAACAATTGCTGTCAAAACCGAGTTGCATTAATTCAGTGACTCGCCTCACAAGACAGTCTTTTTATAATGTTCCCCATAACGAGGGAAGACAATGGCTCCCCTTGATTTTCCTTTCCCCCCCATGCAGCTCTATCTGTCACCGGCCATGGCAACAGGGAAGAATAGCCCCGGATTTGCCAGCGGACAAGGCCCGCGCGAGGGGGGCCCCCCGGCACCCTGTGTTATCCCGGCACAATCGCCCTGTTATTTGACAAGCAGCGAGCCTGCAGGAGAACACGGCTCTTGGCATCGTGCTGAGTGTCAGACTGACAAGCTCCAGCCAAGCCCCTGGTGATAAACCTGCACGGCAGGTTGGGAAAACCTCCCCGGTCTCAGCGTGTCTTTGCTGCGAGTTCCAAAGCGTGAGTCAGCTCGCCAAAGGACAGCAGTGCCACTGACACGCAGAGAAAACACCTCTGGCACCTCCACACCACGAAAACCCTCCGTGAAAAAGTACCATGAAAAACTCTGTTACGAGTACTGTGAACGGGGGGGGGGGGAGCTGCGGTTCGAAATGGAAGTCGGCGGTGCTAAGCCTGCAGAAAGTGTAAGGATATCCAGCCACTATCTTGGAATAACTCTTGGTCAAACTTCAATTTTAACTCGATAAGGTGATGCTAGCTTTTTGCGTACTTAAAAAAACCCAGCCAAACAAAAAGAGCATAACTCCCTGCCAGTTACACGGAAAGTTTCCCTGGTCTCCCTGAGGCCTACCAGGCATATTTTCGATTTTTTTATTTTTTTTTTAAATCCGTTTCTATACTGCAGATGAGCAAATTAGGTGCTGTCTACAGCACTCTGCCAACAGCAGCTGAGGCAGCTTTGCCAACATTTCTGGCTTTGCCGTGCAGCAACTCCAGTTTCCATTTCTATACTTCGTGCAGAAAGATCACTTGGAACAATGGAGGTGGGGGTAAAGGTTTGCTTTCCTAGGTTTCAGAAGGGTCTGGAAAAAGAAACAAGCATCTCATTATTGCCTGTGACAGAGGGTGGAGGGTTTCGTGCTTTTCCATTCCCAGTTAGCCAAATGCCACGGAGAAGGAGGCTCTCTAATTTGCAAACCAGACTCCCAGGACACTCGAAATCCTGTCCCCCCTTCTCCACCGCGGCAGCTGAGAATTATGAAGGAGGGGGACAGCTGGGCTTCTCATTAGGAGCACAACGCCTGAATCCATGGACAATCATCTGTACCCACCTCCCGCTCACAGCTGAGAGGTGTCTTTCAAGACCTCTCTGGGGGTATGGAGCGGGTTTGCTGCGGCAGAGTCCAAAGACAAATGCAAGGCAGGGATCGAGGAGGAAGCCGGCGCCGGGGTTATTGGTCTCCATGAGAACGCAACTCACTCACTAGAACGCTCCAGCTCGGAGATAAAGTCTCCTCTCCAAAAGCAGGCTGCGTTTACATCTGCTGGTTATCAGCGTAAGGCTCTAACAACCGGCAGATATTACGGACGCGGTCCCACTAACTGCTCGCAAGGAACTCGGAACGCTCAGCGGGGCCAAGGCCTTAATGGAGCTCGGCTCTGCCAGGGCGCCTTTTTCAGCTGCCTGGGTCTCCCTTCTTTGCCTAGAGCGCATCCCCGCCTTAATTAATAGGTCACTGAACCGGTTTATGTTAATTGTCACAAAGTACCTCGCCTTTGTTCCCAAGGGGAGGGACCAAAGTTCATTCGGTTGCTGCCCACGAAGCAAAACTGCCGAGTGTGGGGTTCTGCGCACACCTGGACTTGCCACCGATTCCTCGGGGAGCTTTTTTTATGCCGCAGTAAAGCTCGGCCGGGTCCTTGGCGGGGCTCAGGCCGCCGGGGAGCCCCCCCTGCCCCATCACCTGCCCCGGGATTCACTTCCACGCTCCAGCCGCTCCTAACTCAGCTGGGGCACGCAACGCTACCGCACCAACTTCTGCCCGCCGGGAAGGAGGAAAACATTACGGAAACATCACAAAAGCCGGGGGAGACACTTCGGGTGGGCGTTCTACCCTGACCCCGCTCTCGCCTGCCCAGCACGGCGCTCACCGGGAAGGCGCCCCGGCTGATCCGGGGACGGTCCCGAACTCGCGTCCCCGCGGGAGGGGGAGCCGTGCGGGAAGGGGAAGCCCGGCTCGCCCGCCTCCAAAACGGCGCCTCTGCGGCGCAGCGGGCGGCCGCCCCTCCGCACCTTCCCCCGCCGGCTGGGAGGGGCAAAGCCGGGGCTGCTTGCCGGGGGCCCCCGGGGCCGGGCACAAAAGGAGAGAAGCGGCGAGCGGGACGGATCGCGCCCGCCCAGGCCCGGGCGGGAGGCGGCGGGGCAGAGGCGGCGGCGGGCCGGTCCCTCTCCCGGCGGGCTGCCCTGCTCCCGCCCTGAGGCCGGCGGGAACGGGCAGAGGGGAAGAGAAAAACCCCCCCCCCAACACCGCCCCGGCGGGTTACTCACAAACAAGAGCTCCCATGCGATGGGCGGCGGAGCGGGACCGGCGGGTGCCTGGGCTTCGGCGCGCTCGGGCTCCCAATGGCAGCGCAGGCGGCGGGTGCCGGAGAGGAGCGCCGCGGGGCGGGGGACACGGCCCGGCCCGGGGCCGCCCATCGCCCCCCAGCGGCCCCCCGCGGGCCCGGCCGCCTCCCTTCACGCTGCGGCCGCGGGCCACCCGTCCTTCCCGGCTTCCCTCCCACGGCACTGGGGCTGGCCCCCTCAGGGGCCCCCCGGGCCCAACGGTGATCCCCCTTCAGGGCAGCCCCCCTCTTGGCCCCGGGCACCGGCGATCCCCCTCGGGCATCCCTCGGGCCGAATTCCCGCCCCCCCCGCCCCCCTCAAGAGACACCCATGTGTGCCCTCCTAGACAATTCCCTGGAAAGGGGGACCCCCTGCCCCTCCACAGCCGCCCTTCTCCTCAGAGATGGCCGTGTGTCCACCCTCAGATATTTCCCTGGAAACGGGCACCCCCTGCACCTCCGGAGCCCCCCTCGTCCCCTCAGGCCTCCCCCTCTTGCCCTCAGGACAAAGGGATCCAGGTACCAGCCCACAGGTCACCATCACGGTCAGAAAAATAAGAGGAAGGTCTTAACCAGCGTTTCTGCTCCTGTCACGCAACCCTTTTTTTTTTTAGAGAAACTCGTCAAAATGGATTCTGATATTTCTAATACGTGATTTGTGAGCAATTAGTAACTGGGCTGGGTGCGGGTGAGCAGTCAGCTTAAGAAAGGCCACACCTCAGAGGTGACGCTATGGGCAGCTGCAAAGTGCTGAGGTAAAAAAAGTCCAGTTTTTCTAAGAAAACCTTGCCAGGCAGATTTAATCACATCCCAGTGCTTTTTATGGTAGAAATTACAATCCCAGGGTGTAATTTCACACAAAAATCTGCCTCTGTTTAGGTCAATAAGAAGTCGGATTTTGGAGAGAACACAGGACAGGCTACACAACCCCCTGAGATTCCCTCCCGCCCCAAGGGGATTTAGCAACCCCAAAAACCTCACACTGCTGCAGGTAGGCCAGAGGAAAACCTTATGACTTTCAGATTTATCAGGCAATTTCTCTACATCAAAATAGCCTACAATCCCACAAAACAGTAAGGTTATATGGCACATCAGGGGTGCCTTACGTGGCCACACTGACAGTCATCTGCTTCTCTCACGTTTTTAAATGCTGAAACTGCATTTTCTACTTTCTGGCTCTGTCCTTCAGACCAAGTCAGAATGCCGGGTCAGTGCATTTCAAAGTAAATTAAAACTACACTACTGTTTTTAGGACACCTTTAAAATCCAGCGTTTCACCAGGCAGCAAAGGTGTAATTAAAAAGCATTTTGCGATGCTTGCAATTTTCCTTTTGGCTGTGTTAGCAGAAGCACGAAATGGGTCTTAGGGCACTTTTTAACAGACGCTGTCAGACTAAATCAGCCACGTTAATCAAGCAAAAACACATCACTGATCTTTCTGGCACATTCACGTTGGGACACGAATAACCCGCGTTCCCCGTTCCCACCCGTGCGCTTCCTCCTACCCACGGAACGTTTTATTCTAGCGGCAAGTTAAAATTAAAAAACGTTTGTTTACTGCAGCAGGAAACACTTGGCCGGGAGAAACCGGTTACATAACGAGTGGGTTTTATGCCTCACGTTAACATCGGTCCGTTTGGGATGGCTGAGGGTCACATGAAGGGCTCCCTTCAGACAACCCGAGGGGCTGGCAGCGCGCGCAGGCTTACGCAAGAGCCGAGCCGCTCCGCCGCTCCGGGAAAGGCACAGCCAGCGCTCCCCCGGCCCCACGTCTGTCATTTCGGTTTATCCGTCGTGCTGCACAGCTTAGAGAATTCCTCTGAAAGGGCCCTCCAGCTGACAAAGCGCTTCGGTCCCGAGCTGAAGTTTCCAGCTTTTCGGCGCAGCCGGGTTAACACGGAACATTCCAGCTGAAAGAAGCTCAGAAATTAAGATAACAAAACTTAATGGGATGGGAGAAAAAAGGAAACAACATTTTGTTTTGAAATGCAAATAATACAGTCTGTAACTAAATATGAATAATTTTGGAAAATACCACCACAGAACATAAAGGTCAGTTTTTCTCAACGATAAATTACACAGAGGGATAAGGAGTGTTTCCCAATATAAGATAAGCACCTGTTTTAGTATCACCTCAGAAGATTTTCCTTTTCTCTCTGATCAGGCTAAAGGATAGCTGGTATTAATTATTAATTATTCTCAAAAACAACCTGTTTAACATAATTGAAGAAGTATCAAAAAAGGCATCTCTCAAGGCAGATAAATTGAACCTCTCGGTCCACAGCAGTATGGAGTCATCTCCTGAGATTTTCTATTTTTAGAGAGGCAGATTCCCTCTCCTAAGTAGACTTCAGCACCAGTTCTGTCAAGTGAGTAAATGCAAATTCTCTTGTCCTAGGATGACTTTTCTTTTCCTATCATAGGTGCAGAAGCTTTGATTCCTCATGTAACTAAGGAAGCTCTGAGATTCCTGGGCAACTTCAGTGCCAACAGATGCCCAACAACACGATGCTCTCTAAAGCTAGCTTGCACAAACCTGACCAGCTGCCAGACAAGCATCAGTGAGTATTTTTTCCTGTACTTGGGAAGCAAATAAATCAAAGGTAAAATGGGTGGAAGATCTGCATCCCTTCAAGAGACTCTTCCTTGCACCCTGCTTGGGTCACAAGAGAGGAATGCACATAACGTTCCCTTGGTCCCTAAGATTCAGGGATCTGCTTATTCAATTAAACAAAGCACGACAGCCAGTCTAGATACAGATAAGTGCTCAAGATGCATTCCTATAGTTACCTTAATTTTTTTCTCCTATAATGTTTGCTTGCTTATTTAAAGGAGGTTTTGAAGAGAAACCTGACAAGTAGGCTACGAAAAACTGGAATGTGAACCCCTTGAGCACCAAGGTCAACATTCCTTTGAAAAATGTGCATAATGAGTGATTTACCTTGAAAATTCAGAAGGGTTGAGAGTGCTGTTGTCAAGAGGCTGTGCTGTTATCAGGGTTATAGTCTGTCATGTGAAAGTTTGTTACAAGAAATAGTTTACAAAAGCAGAAGCCAGCAACAAGGAGGTGACATGAAGTAGCCTGTTCACATTTTCAAAAGGGTGATAAGAAACATTCAAGGCTTCTGATAAAAGAATGTGTTGGCAGCACAGCAAGACGAAAGACTTGTGCTGAAAAACCCAAGACTGTATTTTGAGTTTGATAGCTTGCAATGGCTTGAGATAGCAACTCTTACTTGCTGATCTTAAGGCTAAAACTGCAGGATGTCAGAAAAAAAAGAGGAATAGCTTGGCTGTCATAGCTCTCACCATCTTCCTGACACTGGGCTTCACGTGACAGGCTGGCACAGCCCCCATCTTTAACAACTGCTCTGATGCCTGCCTAAATATCTTGGATTTGAGCCTGTGGAGCCTCCCTGCGTTCCTCCACTGTTGGGGTCTGGGTTTTTGGCTTGCATTTTCTCTTCCTGTTCATTTGGCTTCACGCTAATTTTTTTTCTCTGGGTTCAGCATGACCTACCTTCACCACGTGTGCACGTGCAAGAAGCTGGTGCCTGTTCTTTCCCCCTTATCTCTCTTAGATGCAGCAACAACAGCAGGACTGTTTTCCCAGGTTACCTGGAAGGGGAATGTTTCCTGCCCACAGGTTCAGCCAGTGCTGGCCTCTTAAGACTGTCAAGCAGGGAAGGGAGCGAGGGGGAGAAAATCAGCTCTCTTAGACAATAACTCTCCAGGGAAGGGGTGTAAAAGCCTTGTCATGCTGAAGCCTGACTTAAAACTTTATATTGCAAGTAGGCTGTGGTTTGGGTTTTTTTCTCCTTTACGAATGGCTTGATTAAAAAAAAAAATTAAAGTGCTATTGATGACAGAAACTCTCAATGGAGGTGCTGGTGGGCGAGAGGCTGGCCATGCCCTGGCCATGTGCACTGGCAGCCTGGAAAGCCAACCGTGTCCTTGGTTCATCCCACACCGTGGGCAGCAGGGGAGGGGGGGATTCTGCCCCTCTGCTGTGCCCTGGTGAGACCTCACCTGGAATGCTGCATCCAGCTCTGGGGCACCAACACAGGAAGGACATGGAGCTGTTGGAGCGAGTCCAGAGGAGGCACCAAGATGATCAGAGGGATGGAGCAGCTCTGCTGTGAGGAAAGGCTGAGAGAGTTGGGATTGTTCAGCCTGGAGAAGAGAAAGCTTTGGGGTGACCCAACTGTGGCCTTCCAGTACCTGAAGGAGCTACAAGAAAGATGGAGAGAGACTATTCACAAGGGCCTGGAGTGACAGGACAAGGGGGAACGGCTTCACACTGACAGCAGGGTTAGAT